GAGTTTGAGATGACAAACTTGGGTGAAATGAAGTATTTCTTGGAATAGAGATTGAAGAAAGATCTGATGAAATTTTTATTTCACAACACAAGTATGTAGCTGATATTTTGAAGATGTTTAAAATGATGGATTGCAAGCCAGCTAACACATCTATAGCAGTGAACACGAAGCTATCAAAGGTTGATGGTGATTAACCAGCAAATGAGAAGAATTATAGAAGCCATGTGGAAAGCTTGTTGTATCTAACTTCAACAAGACCTGATCTAATGTTTGTTGTAAGTCTGTTGTCTAGATTCATGTCCAATCCATCACAAACTCATCTCTCTACTGCCAAAAGAGTCCTTAGATATATCAAAGGAACTCTGAATCATGAAAATTTATTATGAAGGAAGAGTTGGATCAGATTTAAAAGGCTACTCAGACAGTGATTGGGCTGGTTCAATTGATGATATGAAGAGCACATCTGGGTATTTGTTTACTTTGGGATCTGGTGCATTCAGTTGAAACTCAAAGAAGCAAGATATTGTGGCTCAATCTACAACAGAAGCTGAGTATGTGGCTACATTATCAACTACAAATCAGGCGATTTGGCTTAGGAAAATTCTGAATGATTTGCATCAAGTTCAAGCAAATCCTACCTCAATTTTAGTGGACAATCAGTCTACTATTGCCTTGGCCAAAAATTCAGTTAATCATGGAAGAACAAAGCATATTAAAGTCAAGTTTCATGCAATCGGGCACACTGAGAAAGAAGGTGAAGTTCACTAGCAATATTGTCCTTCACAAGTCCAATTAGCAGACCTGTTTACCAAGCCACTTGCAAAGGATCGTTTTGTGGAACTGATGCATCAAATTGGATTCTTAAAAAAAAGCTTCAAGGAGGAGATTGTAAGATAATGTGAAGACTTTTATTTAGACTCTAGTTAGGCTAATATCTTTTGTCAACAAGCCAAGCTTATTCCAGCTGTAAATCAGGCCACTATGGCTGATGTCATTTAGCATTTTAATATTCTGATGAAATCTGTTTTTTGTAGTATGATATATAGCCTTTTGTTTGGCTCGATGAAAATGATATCAATCAAGTTATTCTCCTTCTTTAAGTCAACAGCATTGAACTGAGATGTGAATTGCTAGTTAACTGTTTAGTCACTGCAACATTTTATCATACATTACTCTTATGTTTATTGCCACTGCTTAAAGTTTGAGCTAACTCCGAGAAATTTTGGATTGATTATATGTGCTTTTTTGGCTATTTCATTTGGTTTAGAAGTAATTCTTTCATTAATATTTGTTAATTTTTATAAATTAGCTTGCTAATCAAAAATAGTTGTAGTAGTCATCGTAGTGGTAGCAGTAGTTGTGGTACTGGTAGTGATAGTAGTAGTTGAGGTAGTGTTAGTGATAGTAGTGATGGTGGTGGGGGTTCTGGTTGTGGTAGTGATGGTAGTGGTAGTCGTGGTAGTGATATTGGTAGTATTTGAGGTTGTGGTAGTGGTAGTTGTGGTCGTTGCAATAGTGGTGGTGGTAGTTGAGGTAGTGGTGGTGGTAGTGATAGTAGTGGATGTGGTCGTTGTGGTAGTGATAATGATAGTGATTGTGGTGGTGGTAGTGGTAGTGGTAGTAGTAGTGGTAGTTATGGTGGTGGTGGTTGTAGTGGTAGTTGTGGTAGTGGTGGTGATTGTGACTGTAGTGGTAGTGGTAGTGGTGGCTGTGGTAGTTTTGGTAGTGGTGGGGGTGATAGTTGTTGTAGTGGTTGTGGTGGTAGTATTGATAGTAGTGGTAGTGCTAGTGATTGTGGTGGTGGCTGTAATAGTAGTTGTAGTGTTAGTGATAGTAGTGATGGTGGCATAGTGGGGGTGATGGTATTGGTGATTAATAGTAATAACTAATAATAGTAAATAATAATAAAACAACTATAACAATATATAAAACACAAAAACAACAATAAAAACTCATCAAAAGAAAAAAATGCCATCTGAGATATAT